TACCCCCTCCCCTAGCATTCCTCTCCAAGAAAATGCATTCTATCCCGAGACAAAAGTAGAAAGAGGCGCTAAAAGGCGAAACACACACGACACACTGCGAACGGCTGCCTCGTCCATCCCCAGTGCCGCAGGCGAGCGTCAGGCCCACGCGAAGGGACGGCGAGTTCATGGGGCAGATGCGCTCCGCCGGCCAAGGGTCCCCGACTGCCCTGACGTGCAATGTGCAGGCATCCCCCGCTCCGACCGTGAGGTGAGTCGGGTCGTGAGGAAGGATTGCGTTTCATTTTGTCTTTTTTGTTTAGGAGTGTGACACGACTTTCTAGTTTTTTTCTTCGTTTATTTATCATTTCTTACAAACCTCAATACGTAGGAAAGTCACATTGCGTTAACTATACAATTTGTACATTATTGGATAGCAAAGATTATTGTCACACGGCTCTGGGGTGGCCTCAGGAATGCTTGCTAGCTTAGGAAGCAGACCTGAGTTTAAGTTCTGGTGTCGATCTTCCAAGAACCCACAACCACCGTGAGACCCACGGTGAAAGACTCCGACATTAAGGTCATGCAAAGGGAAACGTCTCGAGAAGATACCGGGACTCTCCTCTGCATGGTCCAGGGCCATCCCACGCCCACCTTCAGGTTGGTAGTCTTATTTGTGTATCTTGCTGACAAGCGCTCGGATACGCTCATGCACTTGTACACGAATACGCATACGGATATGCACACGCACACGTACACGAACACGTACACGTACAAGTACACGTACTCGCACACCCACACACCTGTAACTGCTGCGCCATCAAGTACCGATATAGCAAAACATGCATGACGAGCGAGATGCGTCTCTCTGCACCCGCAGTGCCCCAAGCGAGTGTCAGACCCACGCGCAGGGACGGTGATTCCATGGGGCAGGTGCGCTCCGTGGGCCAGGGCGCCCCCACTGCCCTGATATGTAGCGTGCAAGGCTCTCCCGCACCCACCGTCAGGTAAGTTTTTAGCTGGTCAACACGTGGTCCAATGAGTAACCAGAGAACATCTTTATATAAAACAGGTGAGTTATCCACCCTTTGCCAGTGGTCTGAAGGGGAAGGAGAATTATGGAGAGGATAATTATAGCCAACAGTCAGGCTCCGGACAGACCGCGAGTGGCTTAGAACGGCAATCTGTCTACTACCATACCCATTTTGTGTTTTTCATGTGAAGAACCGACGGCAACTGTCAGGCCGTCAGTGAAAGACACAGGAATTCGTTTTTTGGAGAGTCAAGTGCCTGTGGGCGACCCGACGTCTCTTTCGTGCGCCGTTCAGGGGCACCCGATCCCTTCATACAGGTGTGTTCTTGGTAACCGTCGATTGCGACACAGATGCCACTCCACAGATTGTGGTTCCATGTGCATTCAGTTTGTTTTGGGAGATTGTCCGACTCCCGGGTATAGAAGAGGAAATACAGCGGTGTAAATGCCTCGCCGGGGGAACCCAAACCCACCTTGGCAAGATTATGTTGGTTTCCAGCACTCAATTTATTTTGGTTTTGCCTAGCAGAACCTCAGGCTAGTTCGGCGCCGAGGATCCGCGAATGGCCCATCCCAAGCTCCATCCCGGCGAGGTCCTCCAAGTCCTTAGTGTGCAACCTGCAAGGTTTTCCCATCCCCGAGTACAGGTACGAGTGTCTCTGCAGCCTCTTTCGCCCCTTGAGGTTTGTGGCAGGTTCCTCTAGACACACATACACATGTAGCCATGAGTATTCCGTTGAACACTCTCCCCGCATACATCAGCGCCACGCGTAACGTAGACCTACATCTTCGCCGGCCAAACTGAAAACAATACGTTCACACTTCCCTAACTCCGGGACACTTTTAGTAAGTGTAGCATTCAATAGATGCGACCACGAGTACTGCCCCGAAGCTGCAGGAGATCCCTTTCCCGTTGGACGTCGGCGGGGGTGGTACGGCCTCGCTTACGTGCCGTGTTCAGGCCTTCCCCGTGCCAAGCTACAGGTAAGGATCGCCCTGTAGAGGAGCCTTCAGAGAATAAGGCCCCAGGAATCTCGCCCACCGCTTCCGGGCTTCATGAATACAGTGCCAGTTTGTATGTAAAGCAAACTCGTAATGTTAACCTTGGAGCGGTGTGCGTGTGTGCGCAAGAGTTTTGGGTCATGTGGTACGGGCCTCCCCCTCCTCTCGCCCTCTCGAGTCCCATGCAGTCTGCGGCCACATTTTTGGCGGGAAACGTCACTATACCAGAGGCGCGTTGAGTACGTAGAATGCTGATGTTCATGGAATATCTGTGGGCAATAATTGGATTGTATACTGTTCATTAAAAAAAAACGAATTTTTATATTGCTTTACGTTTATTTTTTTCACATTCAGAAGTCTACAGTAATAAAGTCAAACTATTTAATGTGTTTTACCGTGCTCAAGTGCACCAAAGCGCAAAGCAGCAGTTTAACGGCTCAAGAGAAACGAAACAATATAAAAGGGACGGAGAGAGGGGAAACAAGCACGCGTTTGTTTGTGAATGAAAGAGAGCGGGGCAACCAGAGCGCTCAGGGCGAGAACACTTCATTCATAGATTTCCAGCATATAGTTGGCAAAGAGCTGTATAAGCATCATTTCATCACAACACACACGTTAACACGAAAGAACATATCACAAACTTTATAACGCGAAAAGAAAAAAGAGGAAATAAAGAGCGAGTTTAATAATAGCGTCACGAGACTTGCCTCTCTCGTCAAGGTTGTAGAGACCCGCTCGAGCTCTCTCACTCCACGTGGGTATCGATCGGATGTTCTTGCAGCTTAAAGCCGCACCTCCCAGGCGGCCCAGGCGGGTCAACGGCTCCGCTCGCGCCTCGCGTTCTTGTCGTTTATGCTCATTTTTCGGCGTCGCAAGAACGGATTGGGCGTTCCGCTGAGTCAGGGGCGTTAGGCCTTTGTCACACTATCAGGTGGCGTGTGTTGCGTAATTAGAAGTATGTAATAGACTCAGATTACTCAGCTTTCGCTGCTGTCGCTGTGAAATATATTTGCCGAAATTCGTCCTTGTGTTATTTTGAGGATAGGTTAGATCTGTGGCATTCCGCAACGACCTTCAAAAAGGCATGAAATCTGGAGTTCAGGGTCTGTAGAGTCATAAGGTACAGCAACAAACAGTGTTTCAGGCTTCTTGCTCACATTTGCTGTATGACTTTTGGTTTCGAAATGCAGCTGGTTTTCACGAATGCACACTTTTAACACCCGGGTTCTACAGCACCGGGAAGCCACGGGCCCCCAAGGGTATCGGGGGACAGACTGCAAGAGCTCACAGGTGATTCCGGGTTAAGTCTCGCCCTCCTCTGCCCCGCCCAGGCCTTCCCCCTTCCGCAGTACAGGTAAATTTCCCAGCCAGCTTCCACTTACCTTCGTCGGTAGTTGGGGTTATGGTTCTAAATTTACTAGGCGAAGCAACTATCAGGCTCCTGGATGCTTTTTGCATCCCCCCTCCTTCATTTTCCCTTTACTTTTCTTACTCTGTGTTTCTGTCAGATCCAAAGAGTCAAGTCCCACCACGAGTCACAAGGACTCGAGTGCCAGAGGTCACAATTGAGACTGAATCTTCGGCTTCCCTTTTCTGCCCTGCCCAGGCATACCCTGTGCCAAAATATAAGTAAGGAGCCCGAGCCGTCTGTTAAAGAGGCGTGCAACAAGTAAAGTTTCATGCTGATTACTAGAGGCGGTGGTACTGGCCTCCAACATTCAGATTCGAGAGAGAGAGAGAGAGAGAGAGAGAGAGAGAGAGAGAGAGAGAGAGAGAGAGAGAGAGAGAGAGAGAGAGAGAGAGAGGAGAGGGAGGGAGGGAGGGAGAGGGAGAGAGAAGAGTAAAGCACCGAAGTAAGCGTGTTCCCACAGAGCCCAAGAGCCGAGTTCCCCCCCCGCATGACTGGCAGCAGACTGTCTGAGGCGTCGCTTCTCACGGGGTCCACGGCCTCGCTCTTCTGCCCTGCACAGGCCTACCCCATCCCCTTGTACACGTAAGCCTCGACGTCGCGCTCGTCAAGGTTTATCGTTTTACGTCAATATGTTTATTATTGCTCCTCGTCATTATTATTTAGTTTATGTTCTTTGGGGACGTTTATGTACAATCGGCAAACAATAGCATGGTTCTGTACCCTTGGTTCGGCTCCAGTGAGTTACCTGTAGAAAAGCAATTGTTAAAAATCGGGTTTGTTTTAGCTCCGGCGGGAAACATCGCGCCACGACTTCCCGGGAGTGACCTTTCCCGAGTCATGGGAAAGCTAAGAGGTCACGTGACTCTTTTATGTCCTCTTCAGGGTTTTCCCGTCCCTTCTCATCGGTAAGTTGAGAAGTTTGTGTGGCAAGACCCGATTAATGAATTTCAGTGCCACCATTTATGCTATTTACAAGCGAATTTATATCTGAAGGATGCAAATTATTCTCCGAATTACCTTTCAGATGGAATATGCACTTTTCCTTTAAAAACTTTCATAATATACTAAATTAACCCTCAGTATTTCTGGCCATGATTCCGGGGAATCAGTTAACCTCATGAGACGCGGCGTAGGAACATGTCTCATGCCTTTCACCCCTTCTGTTAAAAAAATACTACTGGGGTGTAGCTTATTTGTGTTTTCTTCTTTGGAAAGAATTTATTCAAATGCTTAGACGGACAGACTTAAATCTGCTTTGAGAAGACTGATGTGAATTTAACTCGTGAACACCAGCTGCTATAGAACGAGAGCAGATGCAAAATTTTCGAGTTTCTTTGGTGACGATTTGTGGATCTTTGCACCATTTCATCTCTCTTGCTGTTGTGAATGATATTCATCCTAGAGTAAGACTTATTGTTCAACATCAATTATCTGTACAAGGAATAGTTACATTTGTATAATTCATTTATTCTTTCATTAGATCGTTTCTCCGTCTTCCTATAAAGTAAAAAAAAATCGGTGCAAAGATCCGAAATGAAAACTGACAGAGATCCTAATACTTCCTTTTTCCCCCAGGTGGTTCAAGGTTTCCGAAGGAGGACGCAAGGCAGCTGTGGAACTCGGCGACCGCGTGAAGCAAGTGGGAGGAACCCTCATCATCCGTGAAGCCAAAGTGGAGGACTCTGGCAAATACCTGTGCGTCGTCAACAACTCTGTCGGAGGCGAGAGCGTCGAGACTGTGCTCACTGTCACTGGTAGGTTATAAAGTCCTATGCCTTGATATGCGCATTTTCGGATACATACACATTTAAGAAAAAATAATAATCATGTTACGTCAGATTATAACAAATCTTTATCTGTCAGAAAAACAGCTCACCATCATTTTTTCTTTTTTTTTCTTCAAGCTCCCCTAAGTGCCCAAGTTGAACCCAAGGTCCAGACCGTTGAATTTGGCCGCCCAGCAACCTTTACCTGCACCTACCGAGGCAACCCCGTTAAGTCTGTCACTTGGCTCAAGGATGGAATTCCACTTAGTAAGTCTCTTTTGTATAATCTGTGTTACAATTCCTTATGTCGATATTACTATATCTGGCTATTAAAAAAAGAAAATGGATTTCTAGAGAATTCTTTTTCTTAAAGCCTAAATTCATTGCTATTACAGAGTTACTCAAGATCTTTAGGAGGTCAAAAGTTCTTGCTTTGGATGTGTTGAACATATTCACTGTAACGAATGTTTTAATAGACTGATCTTGATGTAGGAGACAGAATATTTGATATGTAGATTTTAAAGATGACTTCTATTCAACAAGTATTTACTTTTCTTAATCTTATCTTTATGTTGAATGTTTACACATTTTTAATTGGAAAGATAAAATAAAGTTTTCATATTCTGTAAGAGACAAAAGTATAAAAAAATATATCTTGTAGAAAACATAACAAAACTAGATTAACTGGATCTGTTCATATTTTGAAATTTGTATTTATCCTTTTTTTCTAGACCACAAGGAAGCTGTTCTTCGCATTGACACCGTTGGTCGTGAGGACAAGGGAATGTACCAGTGCTTTGTTAGGAATGACCAGGAATCCGCACAAGGAACTGCTGAACTCAAACTTGGAGGACGTTGTAAGTACACAAAAGATGTGAGAAAATTTGATGCATTTGTAAAAGAAAAAGTATCTAAAATAATTATTATTGTTGTTGAAATAATGAAATATGGTAATGGTAATGATAATGATAATAATGATAATGATAATAAGGATAATGTTAATGATAAGGATGATAATAATAATAATGATAATGATAATGATAATGATAAGGATGATAATAATGATAATGATGATAGTGATGATAATCATGGTGATAATATTAATAATTATTATTATTATTATAATGATAATTGGTATTATTATTATTATTATTATTATTATTATTATTATTATTATAATGATAATTGGTATTATTATTATTATTATTATTATTATCATTATTATTATTATTATTATTATTATTATTATTATTATTATTATTATTATTATTATTATTATTATTATTATTATTATTATTATTGTTATTATTATTATTATTATCATGATTATCATGATTATCATGATTATCATTATCATCATTATCATCATTATCATCATTATCATCATTATCATCATTATCATCATTATCATCATTATCATTATTATCATTATTATTATTATTATTATTATTATTATTATTATTATTATTATTATTATTATTATTATTATTATTATTATTATTATTATTATTATTATTATTTATTATTATTATTATTATTATTATTATTATTATTATCATTATTATCATTATTATCCTCATCATTATTATTACTTTCATTATCGTTATTCTTATTCTTATTCTTATATTATTATCATTATTATTGTTAATGTTTTTATAATTATTGTTATTTATATTATTATTATCATTATTATCATTGTTATTATTATTATTGTTATTATTGTTATCATCATTATCATTATTATTACTTTCATTATGGCTATTCTTACTTTTATTCTTATTCTTATATTATTATCATTATTGTTATTATTGTTATTATTATTATTACTATTATTGTTATTATTATTATTATTATTATTATTATTATTATTATTATTATCATTACTGTTATTATAATTTTTGTTATTATTAATATTATTATTATTATTATTATTATTATTATTATTATTATTATTATTGTTATTATTAGTAGTAATAATACTGTTATTGTTATTATCATCCTTACTGCAGTTATTTTATTTCTAATGATATTCTTTTCCTCTGAACAGTTGAGCCACCACAGCTGATCTACACCTTCCAGACCAACACCCTCCAACCCGGACCTGCAGTATTCCTTAAGTGTGTCGCAGCTGGCAATCCCACCCCTGAGATCACCTGGGAACTCGATGGAACTCGCCTCGCTAACTCTGAACGGTTAGACTGATAACAGTTTTGTTTCTAAATTGCTTAAAAGGAATAGGATAGGAATGGTAATAAGTGTGAATTTGTATTTGGAGATATCGTATATTTCATTTGTTTCATTTGTTTGAATATTGATATAAAGGATGCAAAGAGCACTGTAAAAAAAAATACTTTTTGCAATAAACTTTCACAAAAAATTTCTTTTCAGTATGCAAGTTGGACAGTATGTTACCGTGAATGGCGAAGTTGTCTCCCACTTGAACATCTCTGCAGTTCACACCAATGATGGCGGTCTCTATGCTTGTGTTGCTTCATCCACCGTTGGCTCTGTCCGTCATGCTGCCAAGCTTAATGTCTATGGATTGCCCTACATCAGGTGATTTTTCTGTTATTAATTATACTTTGGACATTTTTATTGGTGTATACTTTTTGTATTAAGTGTTGTGGAAGGAAATACCCATCATTGAATGCTTATAACATTATTAGACAAAAATTTGTTAGTTATTAAATGAAAATTCACCAACAGGCCTATGGATAAGGCTGCAGTTGTTGCTGGAGAAAACATGGTTGTACACTGCCCTGTTGCTGGATATCCCATTGACTCTATTGTTTGGGAAAAGAGTAAGTATGGTTTTATAACAGTTATCAATAATATGAATGATATGAGAGTAAAATATAGATCACTTTAATTATACTTTTTCTTAAATCTATTGAAGAGCTATAGTGTACCATAGATAGTTTTTGATAAATTATCAGTCTACACAGAAACAAAGATGTCAAGCAATAATTTTTTTAAGGCAGTAATGATGGCAGCTTGTAGGATTATATGGTTATTGGAAGATACCCTGAAATTAAAAGAAGCTTTCCATAACTTTTAGATGGCCGCATGCTGCCCATCAACCGCCGCCAGAAGACATTCCCCAATGGCACCCTCATTGTTGAAGCTGTCCAACGCTCCACTGACCAAGGAAGATACACCTGTGTTGCCCGTAACAGCCAGGCTTACACTGCCCGTGGAGATCTTGATGTACAGGTCATGG